TATGTATGTATGTATGTATGCTATGTATTTGAGTATATGCATGCGTGAATGCTTGCATGGATGGCTGGCTGGCTGGATGGATGGATTTGGCTGCGTGTTGGATGGATCTGTCTGTCGGTATGTTTGTCTGTTTGTCTCTCTGTTTGTCTGTCTGTCATGATCTTCTTCTATTGCGTTGGCGACCTTTCCTCTCCTGTTTCTGTTTCCTGCAACTATCGGCAATGTCTGAATCCATCGCTCAACCCTGCGTATCATCCATTAGACAAATTTACCCTAAACCCTAAACCCTAAACCCTTCATTCCTTGCACAGGCTGCCCTGAGCATCCAGGCAGGACGCGGGTTGGGAACCTGGACGGGTCTTCATCCCGCTATGGCGCATAAGGGACAACAGAGCCCTATGAAGCAGTAGCGGTCCTTTTTGGCTTGAGTACTACGGAAGCCTCACTGATTAATTACCAATATTCTTCCCTAGGGCTCTTGATTACAAATGTAGTGCAGGTAGAACGGGCCCAAAACCGTATTGAACAGGATTTATTCAAATCAGGACCCCTATATCATGGGCAGTAGCATTGACGTGGATTGAAGTTGGCTTATCAACGGCGGGACTACCTACCATTGCTTTGTTTTCAACATCTGTTCTCACCAGCGGCCTAAGGATATCTCGCCGCACGTTGAATTGCCAACTATGATGGGCAAATCTACAGTCAGGGTTCGTAGAAGCATGTGCGTTATGTTACATTGTGTTTCACGCGAGCTCAGCATGTGTTACATGGTTGAGAGTGTCACGACTGCCCCTGAGAGCATGTGAAAGGTTACGAGGGCCTAAAGCTTCGAATGTAGGATGCTTCGCTGCGTGCTGCAATAATTAGCAAACCCTAAACCCTAAACCCCTAAACCCTAAACCCTAAACCCTATTAGCAGCTTTGTGGCGGCATCATGTCAAGGGCTAACCCAGGGAACCCAATACCCCTTAATTAAGGAATATACCTTAAATCGTAATATTAAGGCCCCTATAATTTAAGGTATATTCCTTAATTAAGGGGTATTGGGTTCTCTGGGAACTTGTTAATGCTTGGACCTTGAAACCAGTTGTTTTTTTTCCTGATGCAGCC